TGTGCAACCACTATGAAAAGCAGTATGGAGTATCCTCAGAAAATTAAGGATAGATCTACCATATGATCCAGCTACCCCACTGCTGGGTATTTATCCAAAGAACTTGAAAATACAAAGGTAAAAAGATACTTGCACCCTTATGTTCATTGCAGCACTATACACAATAGCCAAGACATGGTAGCAACCTAGGTGCCCATCAAGGGACGAATGGATAAAGAATATGTGGTATATATACACAATGGAATAATACTCAGCCATAAGAAATGATGAAATACGGTCATTTGTGACAACATGGATGGACCTTGAGGATATTATGCTGAGTGAAATAAGTCAGAGGGAGAAAGTCAAGTACCATATGATCTCAATCATAAGTAGAAGATAAAAACAACGACAAAAAAACACATAGCATTGGAGATTGGATTGGTGGCTACCATAGTGGAAGGGAGAAGGGGGGAGGGAGAAAGGGGTGATTAGGCTCACATGTGAGAGCATGGACTATAATTAGTCTTCGGGTGGTGAACATGATGTAATCTACACAAAATTCAAAATATGATGCACATCCAAAAATAAATAAAATAAATAAATAAATTTTTAAAAAAGAAAGAAGCCCCAACAAAATAAAAAGAAAAAAGAGAGAAGAGATATAAATAAATAAAATCTGAAATGAAGAAAATAAATAAATAAATAAATAAATTCATTTCTTCAGAAATGAAGAAAATAAATAAAATCAGAAATGAAGAGGAGGCATTAAAATTGATACCACTGAGGGCCAGCCACAGTGGCCTGGTGGTTAAATTTGGTGTGCTCTGCTTTGGTGGCCTGGGTTCAGTCCCTAGTTGCAGACCTACACCATTCGTCTGTCAGTGGCCATGCTGTTGTGGTGGCTCATATGAAAAAAGAGGAAGATTGACAACAGATGTTAGCTCAGGGTGTATCTTCCTCAGCAAAAAGAGGAATATTGGCAATACATGTTAGCTCAGGGTGAATCTTCCTCAGCAAAAATAAATGAATAAATAAAATAACTGATACCACTTAAATACAAAGGATCATAAGCAACTACTATAAACATTTATACACAAAAAATTGGATAATCTAAAAGAAATGGATAAATTCTTAGAAACATACAACCTACCTAGACTGAATCATGGACAAATAGAAAATCTGAACAGACCAATAACAAGTAAGGAGTTGAATCAGTAATCAAAAATTTTCCAACGCAGAGAAGCCCAAGACCAAATGGTTTTGTGGGTGAATTCAAGAAAACATTTAAACAATTAATGTCAATCCTTCTCAAACTCTTCCAAAAATTGAAAAGAAGGAAACTCTCCCAAATACATATCTTGAGGCCAGCAGTACTCTGATAATGAAGCCAGATAAGGACACTAAAAGAAAATAAAACTGCAGACCAGTATCTCTGATTAATATAGATGTAAAAATTCTCAATGAAATATTAGCAAACCAAATTATTACACAATATGTAATTCCAATCAACAATTCCCAACATGTTAGTTTGCTCCTTAATTGTCCTCAATTCATTCTGTTGTTTCAGACTTTATGCCTCACAATTGCTATTTTCTCTGCTTGGAATGCAGTCCTGCCCTGTCTAAGAAAACTTCTTTATCTTCAACATCCAGTTTTTCTAAAATGTCCACTAGGAAGCCTCTCTGATCCTCTACCTGAAATCTCTATCACATTTAGTTTTATTTTGTGTCCCATTTTATTGACTTTATTGATGGCAGGAGGCTACAACTTCATGAAGCATCTCACTGGGAAGACAGTATCACAATAAGAAGTTGAGAGTTAGTGTAAATGAGTTGGTGGGGTTTCAAAGTTGGTGTTTTTAAAGAGCAAAAAATATTTTTCCCTGTTAGGTTAAAAGTTAAAAATGGAAGTAGCATCTGGTTTATTACAATATAGAAGTCTAGCCTGGGAAATGCTCCTTTATATCGTTAACAAAAGATCAGCCTCTTATCTATACTATCAACATAATCTTAAATTAGCACAACCTTCCATCAGTTGCCTCTATCCCCACAAACTGAATGCAAGAAAAAACGAAGTGTATTTGGTCTTCAGAATCAGCAGATTTGTGTTTTGGGGACTGTTTGGAAAAGAAAAGAAAACAATGAATGAGTATGAAAGTGTACCACATATAGTTTTAATCAGCTTTCTACCTGTGTTACGTCTTTATCTTGTTCAATTCTTCTTTTCTTGCACATTTCACACTATGTTGTAATTTATAGGCATACCACGGAGATATTGTGGGTTCAGTTCCAGACCACCACAATAAAGCAAATATTTCAATAAAGAGAGTCACACGAATTTTTGGGTTTCCCAGTACATATAAATTATGTTTACACTATACTGTAGTCTAGTAAGTGGGCAATAGCATCATGTATAAAATCAATGTATATACCTTAATTAAAAAATACCTTATTGTGAGAATATGCTAACCATCATCTGAGCCTTCAGCAAGTGGTAAATTTTTTGCTGGTGGAGAGTCTTGCCTTGATTTTGATGGCTGCTGACTGATCAGAGTGTGAATGCTGAAGGTTAGGGTGGTTGTGGCAATTTCTTAAAATAAGACAATGGTGAAGTTTGCCACATCAATTGACTTTTCCTTTCAAGAAGGATTTCTCTGTAGCATGAGATCTTATTTGATAGCATTTTTCTCACAGTAGAACTTCTTTCAAAATTGGAGTCAATTCTCTCAAGCCCTGCTGCTCCTTTTATCAACTAAGTTTATGTGATCTCAATCCTTTGTTGTCATTTCAACAATCTTCACAGCATCTTCACCAGGAGTAGATTTCATCTCAAGAAACCACTTTCTTTGCTCCTCCATGAGAAGGAATTCCTCATCCATTAAAGTTGCATCATGAAATTGTAGCAATTCAGTGATATCTTCAGGCTCCACTTCTACCTCTAGTTCTTTTGCTATTTCCATCACATCTGCAGTCACTTCCTTCCAAACTCCTGTTAATGTTGATATTTTTACCTCTTCTTAGGAATTGTAAATGTTCTTAATGGCATCTAGAATAATGGACCCTTTCCAGAAGATTTTCAATTTACTTTTTCCAGATCCATCAGAGGAATCAATATCTATGACAGCTATAGTCTTATGAAATGTGTTTCTTAAATAATAAGACTTGAAAACAAAACTACTCCTTGATTCATGGGCTGAAGAATGGATATTGTGTTAGAAGGCATGAAAACAACATTAATCTCATTGAACATCTCCATCAGACTCTTGGGTGACCAGGTGCATTGTCAATAAGCAGTAATATTTTGAAACAAATCTTTTTTTCTGATCAGTAGATCTCAACAGTGAGCTTAAAATACTCAGTAAACCATGTTGTAAACAGATATGATGCCATCTAGGCTTTGTTGTTCCACTAATAGAGCACAGGCAGAGTAGATTTAGCATAATTCTTAAGGGCCCTAGGATTTTGGGAATGGTAACTGAGCACTGGCTTTAACTTAAAGCCACCAGCTGCATTGCCCATAACAAGAAATTCAGCCTATCTTTGAAGCTTTCAAACTGGGCATCGACTTCTCTCTAGCCAAGAAAGTCCTAGATGGCACCTTCTTTCAATATAAGGCTGTTTTGTCTGCATTGAAAATCTGTTGTTTAGTATCCACCTTCATTAATTATTTTAGCTGGATCTTCTGGATAGCTTGCTGCAGATTCTGCATCAGCACTTGTTGCTTCACCTTGCACTTTTATGTTATGGAAATGGCGTCTTTCTTTAAACCTCATGAACCAACCTCTGCTACCTTCAAACTTTTTTTCTGCAGCTTCTTCATCTTTCTCAGCCTTAATAGAATTAAAGAGAGTTAGCATCTTACTCTGGGTTAGGCTTTGGCTTAAGGGAATGATGTGGCTGGTTTGATCTTTTATCCAGATGGCTAAAACTTTCTCCATATCAGCAAAAAGTCCATTTCACTTTTTTATCAATCATGTGTTTACTGGAATAGCACTTATTTTTTTAAAGATTTTATTTTTTTCCTTTTTCTCCCCAAAGCCCCCCAGTACATAGTTGTATATTCTTCGTTGTGGGTCCTTCTAGTTGTGGCATGTGGGACGCTGCCTCAGCGTGGTCTGACGAGCAGTGCCATGTCCACGCCCAGGATTCGAACCAACGAAACACTGGGCCGCTTGCAGCGGAGCGCGCAAACTTAACCACTCGGCCACGGGGCCAGCCCCTGGAATAGCACTTTTAATTTCCTTAAAGAATTTTTCCTTTGCATTTACAACTTGGTTAACTTTTTGGTGCAGAAGGCCAAGCTTTTGGCATATTTCAGCAGTCAACATGACTTCCTCACTAAACTTCATCATTTCTAGATTTTGATTTAAAGTGAGAGATGTGTGACTCTTCCTTTCACTTGAACACTTAAAGCCATTGTAGGGTTATTAATTGGCCTAATTTCAATATTGATGTATCTCAGGAAATAGGCAGGCCCAAGGATAGAGACAGAGACAGAGGAATAGCCAGTCAGTGGAGCAGTCAGAACACACACACAGCTTTTATTGATTAAGTTCACCATCTTATAAGGGTGTGGTTGGTGGTGCGCCCAAACAATTATAATAGTAACATCAAAGATCACTGATCACAGATCACTATAAAAATATAAGAATAGTGAAAAAGTTTAAAACATTGCAAGAATCACCAAAATATGACACAGAGACATTAAGTCAGAAAATGCTGTTGGAAAAATGATGCCAATAGACTTGCTTGACACAGAGTGACAATAAACCTTCAATTTGTAAAAAATGCAATATCTTCGAAGTACAATAAAACAAAGCATAACAAAAAGAGGTATGCCTGTATCTATGGACTTACCTATATTCTCCTCTAGGCTGTGAGCTTCTTGAGGACAGACCTTGTTCACCATCACTGTGATTCATTTATGTATCCCCAGGGTCCATCACGTTGCTAGGAGCATGGCAGGCACATAGCAAATAAGAACAGAGAAACATATTCATTCCTTATCTGGCACCTTACCTGCTCCTGAGGGCGGATAACCACTGTATTAAAATCAGGCCACTTGTCCACCAGGGCCTTTAGCTTGAATGGGTTTCCTTGAGTCATGTGGAAGACGGTCCCATAAACCTACAGCATCCAGAGAAAGTGAGAGAGTTAGCTTATTAGGAAGGGATGGCAAAGTGCCTTGTTTGATCAGGACAAGGATTATTTCTATGAAATAATGTAATTTTATGATTGGAATGTACCTGAGCATTTCTACTGACCAGTTTTTAGTTTCTACTTTTTTTCCCTAATAAATATATCTTTTAAAAATATTCACATAGTAAAATATCTAGACAAATAAAATTTATGAATAAAAATCATGAACTCTCTCATTGTAAAATTTAATAATATCTTTAGAAGTGACATCAGCATCATGGCAGAGTGAGCTCTTCCCTTGGCCTCTCCTCTCTAAGATTTACAACCAAAAGGACATTCATACACCAACAGAGGACATATACACATCACAAAAGACGTCTGAGAGAACCACACAGCCATAAACCTGAAGGTGGTGGTGGGGCTGGATCCTCTGGATGAAGTGGAAGCTGATATGCAGGAGCTCTATGGAGAAAGATGGGTGGGAAGTGCATAGGTGAAAAGGGTGCCCCATCCCCTCCTGGTACTCCAATCCCAGAATCATCTGGATCATGGTGCAGTGAGCATGGTAGTAGTGGTGGGGAAAGTTTGCAGCCAGAGAAGTGTCTGGAGCAAAGCACAGAGAACTTGTCAGTGGCAGCAGGGAAAGTACACAACCCAAGAATCACCCAGAGCATGATGTGGAGAGTGTGGCAGTGGTGGAAGAGAAAGTGCACAGGAAAGGGAGGTGCATCACACCCCGCCTCCCCGGCACTCCAGCCCCAGGATTGCCTGGAGCACAGAGTGGTGAGTGAGGGAGTGATGGTTGGGAAAAGAAAAGGTGCACAATCCTCCAATTTCCCAGAGTTCCATATAGAGAGACAAGCAGACACTGGGGAAAGTGCTGGGGAAGGAGAGTACCCCTCCCCCTGCCTGGCAGCCCAGATCTGCCACCAAGCAGTAGCTCAGAGAGATAAGTAGTCAATGGCCAGATCTGGGGAGCCCCTGTTTGTATGGAGTCCAGAATACACAGTACCTGATCCCCACCCAGTGGTGCTACTTGGCAGCTGCAACCAGATAAGAGCACCATGAGGAAGCAAAAATCCACTCCATCAAGCAGGATGAGTAGGTTTATTAAATCTCCAGAGCAGAAGGAAAGTGACAAGTACCCAGAAATTAACCCTGCAGGCACAGAAATCCATAACCTAAATGACAAAGAATTCAAAAGAGCTATCATAAAAAAACTCAACAGGTTACAAGAAAACACAGAAAGACAAATTAACGAATCCAGGAGCTTCTTCACAAATGAGATTGAAACCATAAAAAATAACCAGTCAGAATTGTTGGAGATGAAAACCACAATGGATGAACTAAAGAAAAATCTGGATTCTCTAAACAACAGAGCTGATAATGTGGAGGAGAGAATCAACCAGGTAGAGGGTAGCACTATAGAAATGCTTCAGAGGGAAGAGAAAAGAGAACTAAGACTAAAAAGAAATGAAGAATTTCTAAGAGAAATATCTGACTAATTCAGGAAATGCAACATAAGGATTATAGGTATTCAAGAGGGGGAAGAGCAGGAGAATGGAGCAGCAAACTTATTCAAAGAAATAATAGCTGAGAACTTCCCAAACCTTGGGAGGGAGCTGGAAATCCATGTAAAGAGGACTCCAGATCTCCTAACTTTGTCAATGTAAAAAAACCCACTTCAAGGCATATAGTAGTGAAACTGGAAAAAGTCAAGGACAAAGAAAATGTACTAAGGGCAGCACGACAGAAGAAAATAACTTACAAAGGAACCCCTATCAGGTTTTCAATGGATTTCTCAGCAGAAACCTTACAGGCTCAGAGAAAGTGGAATGAGATATTCAAAATCCTGAAAGACAAAAACTTCAGTCTATCCAGCCAAACTCTCCTTTAGATATGACAGAGACATAAAAACTTTCCCAGAGAAACAAAAGCTAAGGGAGTTCATTGTCACAAGATCCCCCCCTACAAGAAATCATCACGAAGGCCTATATACCTGAAAAAAAAATAGGCAAGAGGCGACCCTGAGAAAGGAGATGAATAGGCAGGCAATAATCAGAAAATGGCAACTCTCTATCAGATCAGGTTCGTAAACACTTCACTTTAACATCAAGGATAAAGAAAAGGAAAATACCAAAACAAAAGTGATCTCATCATTTTAACCACAAATTCACAACACAAGATTGAAAAAGATATGACAAAAATAATTTAGAGTGGCTGGCCTGGTGGTGCAGTGGTCAAATTTTCACATTCTGGTTTGGAGGCCCGGGGTTCACTGGTTCAGATCCCGGGTGTCACATGGCACCAATTGGCAAGCCATGCTGTGGTCAATGCCCCACAAATAAAGTAGAGGAGGATGGGCACAGATGTTAGCTGAGGGCCAGTCTTCCTCAGCAAAAAGAGGATTGGCAGCAGATGTTGGCTCAGGGCTAATCTTCCTCAAAAAATAAATAAATAAATAAATAAGTAACTTAGAAGGAGATGAGGAAAGGGATGGAATCAGTGTAGTCTAAGGAAATAAGAGTCTATCAGGAAATGGACAATCTCAACTATGAGATTTTTTAATATAAACGTAAGGGTAATCACTAAATAAATAAATAGAATAGAGATATTTACAATAAACAAGGGGAAAAAGAAGAAAACCAACAGAGAAAACTACCTAATCAAATTGGTAGTCTGAAATACATGGGACAAAAAAAAGGAAATGCAGACGAATCAGGAATTGTGTGATAAGATGGCAATATTAAGCCTTTATATATCAATAATCACTCTAAATGTAAGTGGATTGAATTCTCTAATCAAAAGACACAGAGTGGCAGGATGGATTAAATAACAAGACCCAACAATATGCTGCCTCTGGGAAACATCTCAGCTCTAGAGACAAACATAAGCTCAGAGTGAAGGGATGGAAGACAATACTCCAAGCTAATGGTAAACAAAAGAAAGCAGGTGTTTCCATACTTACAAAGTAGACTTCAAGATAAAACTGATAAAGACAGACATAGAGGGGCAGTATAAAATGATAAAAGGGACTCTCCACCAAGAAGACATAAGGCTTATAAAAATGTATGCACCCAACACAGGAGCACCAAAGCACACAAAGTAACTATTAACAAATCTAAAAGGAGATATCAACAACATCACAAAAATGGTGGGAGACCTCAACACCTCACTTACATCAATGGATAGATCATCCAGACAAAAAAGTCAACAAGGAGATAGTGGACTTAAATGAAAAGCAAGACCAGATGAACTTAGTAGATATATAGAGAGCTCTCCATCCAAAAACATCAGAATATACATTCTTCTCAAGCACCCATGGAACATTCTCAAGAATAGACCATATACTGGGAAACAAGGTAAACCTCAATAAATTTAAGAATATTGAAATCATATCTACTATCTTCTCCAACCACATTGCTGTGAAACTAGAAATCAACTACAAGAAAAAAGCTGGAAAAGGAACAAAAAAGTGGAGACTAAACAAGATGCTACTGAACAACCAGTGGGTCGCTGAAGAAATAAAGGGAGAGATGAGAAAATTTTTGAAGACAAATGAGAATGAAACACACCATACCAACTCTTACAGAATGCAGCAAAAGCAGTCCTAAGATGGTAATTTATAGCAATACAGGCCCAAGTCAAAAACAGACAAACCTCAAATAAACAACCTTAAACTACTCTTACAGAATTAGGAAAAAAAGAACAAACAAAGCCCAAACTGAGGAGAAGGAGGGAAATAATAAAAATTAGAGCAGAAATGAATGAAATTGAAACAAAAAATACTGTAAAAAGGATGAACAAAACAAGGAGCTGGTTCTTTGAGAAGATAAACAAAATTGACAAACCATTAGCTAGACTCACTAAAAAAAAAGAGAGAAGCCTCAAATAAATAAAATTAGAAATGAAAGAGGAGAAATTACAAAATATGCCACAGAGATACAAAAGATTATAACAGAATATTATGAAAAACTACATGGACAATCTAGAAGAAATGTATAAATTATTAGACTTTCACAACCTCCCAAAACTGAATCAAGAAGAAATAGAGAATCTGAATAGACCAGTCACAAGTAAGGAGACTGAAATAGTAATAAAAAACCTCCACAAAAATAAAAGTCCAGGACCAAACAGCTTCTCTGGGGAATTCTACCAAACACTTAAAGACAGTTCATTACCTATTCTTAAACCATTCCAAAAAATTGTGGATGATGGAAATATTCCTAACACATTCTGTGAGGCCAGCATCACCCTGATCCCAAAGCCAGACAAGGACAACACAAAGAAGGAAACCTACAGACCAATATCACTGATGAACATAGATGCAAAAATCCTCAACAAAATACTGGCAAACTGAATACAGCAATACATTAAAAAGATCATACACCATGATCAAGTAGGATTCATACCAGGGACACAGGGATGGTTCAACATGCGCAAATCAATCAATGTGATATACCATATTAAAAAAAATGGGGAAAAAGAACCACATGTTCATCTCCATAGGTGCAGAGAAAGCATTTGACAAGATCCAACACTTGTTCGTGATAAAAGCTCTCAATAAAATGGGTATAGAAGGGAAATATCTCAACATAATAAAGGCCATATATAACAAACACACTGCTAACGTCATACTCAATTGGGAAAAACTGAAAACCACCCCACTGAGAGCAGAAAGAAGACAAGGGCGCCCACTCTAACCATTCTTATTCAACATAGTACTAGAGATTTTGGCCAGAGCAATTAGGCAGGAAAAAGAAATAGGAATCCAAATAGGCACTGAAGAAGTGAAACTCTGCCTGTTTGCAGATGACATGATTTTATATATAGAAAACCCTAAAGAATCCATTGGAAAACTATTAGAAATAATCAACAACTAAGCAAAGTTGCAGAAAACAAAATCAACTTACAAAAATCAGTGGCATTTCTATACTCTAATATGAACTAATAGAACAAGAACTCAAGAACAAAACCCCATTTACAAT